TATTCATTCTACCCCTCTCAGTCTGTTACTCCCTTAGTGTTTACATCTCAAGAAATGGCACCCTGTTGTGCTCTTTTTGACTTTTTATATTCAGCTTCTCATGTACCAAGAAATGCCTCTACTTTCAAATTATACCCAAATCTGACTACTCTTTCTCACATCCACCATTACTATCCTGGTCTTAGCCACCAGTTTTCCCTTGGATTATTGCATTAGCCTCCTATGTGGTGTTCTTCCTTCCCTTCTTCACTCCCTGTAACATTTAACAGCCTTAAAGTACTCCTGCAGAAGCTGGGGTGTTCCTTGTAAAACGTAAATCATGGAATTCCTCTTTGGGATCTTTTTTGTGGTTTGCAGATTCCTAATATATGTATCCTCTGGCTTTTTCTCTTTTGTCATTTTTAAGCACTCTTCCTCATGCCTGTTCAATTCCAGCCCTATATTCCTTGCTTTCCCTCAAACATACCAAGCCTGTTCACAGTGTCTAAAAACTAGCTAGGAATCTTCTGTGAGAAATTTGCTTTCAAGTGTTTCATTATCTACCGTGATCCCCAAATATAATTTTAGTGTTGCATTTTTTCTGTAGATGTAGACTCCGAGAAACAGAAGCTATTTCTTTTATTTGGGCCACAAGAATGAGTACAATTCTGTTCCATTTAATTACATATATTAAAATATAACTAACATAATTTAATCTCATAAGATTTTATGCAGCCTACAGATTTATTGTGTGATAACTAGCAAAATTGCAAATTCACATTAGATGCTTTATTAGAAATTGCCATCTCTGAAAAGGCTTGAGTGCACTCAAATAAGGATAAAATTTTTTTTTCAATAGACAATAGATGCATGTGCTTCAAAACTCAAGATACAGAAGGATATGCTTTGAAGAGTTAGTGTTTCTGTCTTATAGCCACCTGATTCTGGTGTCACAGAAAATCAGTGGAAGGTATTTTAATGTATAAACAATTGTACATACACATAAATTATAAAACATACAGCAGTGGTAGGATAACATATACATGTATATTCTTCCTCACTCAGATATTTTTACTAATTGACCCTGAGAACTCGTATAAAGTTGCCTCATTCTTTTTAACAGCTATATGATATTCCATTATAGGTATGTACTGTAATTAATTGAGCCTCACTGTTGAACAGATAGGCTGTTTCCAGTCTTTGCTGCTTATACATGTTCTTTTTCATAGATCTTTTGAGAAATATCTGTAGGATAAATTCTTAGAAGTTGAATTGCTGGATCAAGAGGTATGTGTATTTAAAGTATCATGAATATTTGCCTGGTTGCTCTTTTTTACGACTGTACCATTTTATACTTCCTCTAATAGTATTCTACTACAGGGATTGGCAGACTTTTTTTCTGTTAAGGGCCACATAGTAAATATTAATATTTTAGGCTTTTCAGCTCACATACGGTCTATGCCACACTCTTCTTTGTATACTTTTCTGGCCTCAGGTCATAGTCTGGCAGCTTTGGCCAATAGCATAGCTGCCAGGCTGTTATCAAAACCTTTTGTCTTTTATCAGCCTGCTGTATGAACCTGTTATCTAATTGCATTATTAATTTGCATTTCACTTATGAGCAAAGTTCAACCTTAGTGTTTCCTTTCCTGTGAAATGTTTGTTCAGATCCTTTGCTTTTACAAATGTATTTGCTTTTTGGTATCTTCATTGAACTATGAGTCTTAATCTTTATCCATTAGGGAAATGACCTTTCGTGATATAAAGTGCAGTAAAATTGTTTTCAACAACTTTGTCTTTAATCTTTTGGTTTGGGTTATGTTTTCTTTAGGAATTTTTTTATAGTCACATTTGGTCTTTTATTCAGTAAATCAGTCTTTTATTCTAGGTTTTGTCATTCTTAGAGAGGTTTTTCCTCTAAAAATAATTCTTCCATGGTTTTTTTAATACTAGTGTTTTATTTTCTATGTCTAAACCTTAAATACATCTGGAAGTTATTTTGGTATGAGTTAGGAATCCAGTTTTTTCAGGTGGTTACCTTTTTTCCCAGTACCATATCCTGAATTAAAACATAGAGATTTTGGAAGTTGCTTGCAATGTTACTTTTTAGTTGACTTCTTACATACTGTAGAACTTAGATTAAACTGTTGATCACACAAAGTGCATATTTCATGCATGAAACAGTTACTGAGCATATGCTGTGTGGTCAGGTAGTAAGGATAAACTGTTGTAAAGAGGAGGTTCTAACCCTGACCTTTAGCTGCTTACAGTCTGGCAAATTTATCACACTATATGTATGTGTGTGTTTTAACACCCTGCTCCTTTATTTTATTTTATTATTATTATTTTTTTTGCGGTACACGGGCCTCTCACTGTTGTGGCCTCTCCCGTCGCGGAGCACAGGCTCCGGACGCGCAGGCTCAGCGGCCATGGCTCACAGGCCTAGCCGCTCCGCGGCATGTGGGATCTTCCCGGACCGGGGCACGAACCCGTGTCCCCTGCATCGGCAGGCGGACTCTCAACCACTGCGCCACCAGGGAAGCCCCACCCTGCTCCTTTATTTATATTTTCTCCTTAACCTTCTGTTATTATGAAAATTTTCAACTAGAACAATTGGAAGAACAGTATAGTGAATATAGTTTTGTGCATGCTCTCTCATCCCTCCCTGCTTTTCTCTCTGTAGTTTTTTTTTTTTTTTTGCGGTACGCGGGCCTCTCACTGCTGTGGCCTCTCCCGTTGCGGAGCACAGGCTCCGGACGCGCAGGCTCAGCGGCCATGGCTCACGGGCCCAGCCGCTCCGCAGCATGTGGGATCCTCCCAGACCGGGGCACGAACCCGTGTCCCCTGCATCGGCAGGCAGACTCTCAACCACTGCGCCACCAGGGAAGCCCTTCTCTCTGTAATATATATACTGTGTGAAAGTAAGTTGTAGAAATTCCTAAGATTTTATTAGCATCTTTGTTTGAATTAATTACTTAGTTAAGTGAAAATGGTGATTTTCTAATTTTATTATTTCCTCCATTTGTCTGTTTTTCTGGTTCGCTGAGGAGAGGGAATCATAGCTATCTTTTTCATCTAGCATAGTACTTATCACGGAGTGATTTCCTAATAAATAAGTGCTGAATGAATGAGTGAGTACTTTAGGCTGTGGGATGTTATTGAAGGATTTCAAGTGAAGGTATAATGTAGAATGATTAATGGTGTAGAAAGATAATTCTGATGTCTTTATGGAGGAGAGCAACTTGAAGAAAGCTTTCGTTTGGACCCTGTATCAGTTAGAACTTGATTATAAGTAATCCAACTCAAATCAAATCAGCTTGAACAAAAAGAGGAATTTATCCTGGATCATGGAACCCAGGGAATGATTTGAAGATCCAGCCACACAAAGGGTTCATCTGGGCTTCAGGAACAAATAAAAGCAAGGCTGTCGGTGCCACTAATATTTTTAGTCTTTGCTTCACTCTGTGTTTTTACCAGTTCTAGTTTGTCTGCTCATGGACCAATTAAATATGGTTTCAGGGCAGGATTTGTAAGAATATGGTTGACTCCTAGATATCATGTGGATTGAGTTAGTACACTGTTAACAGAAAGAGATGTGGAGTGTTGGAATGGTACCAAGTGGAGGAGATGGATTTGAGAGAGATATTAATTAATACAGTTTGCAGAATTTGTCCAAGAGGAAGGAGAATTGGAGTGATTCTCTTTTTTATCTTGAGCAAATTGCTGACTTGGTGATGCTGTTAATTAAATGACGGGAAAACAAGAAAGTATGCTTGGAACGGGAACATGATGAATTTGGTTTTAGAAGTGCTAAGTTAAAGGTCCCTAGGGGACCTATAGAAGCTAATTGAATATAGATATCTGAAGTTTGGAAGAAAGGTCTAAGCTAAAATGCTTAGGAAGTCAACAGCAAAGTCAAGGCTATAGTGGTGAATAAAATAGTCTGAGTGTATAAAATGAGGCGAGAATTGGAATATTGAGCACATAAAGCAGAGGAAGAGACATATAAAATAAATTAATAGGACAATTATAAAACTAGGGAACAATACAAAAAAACCAAAGGTATTTTATCTAGGAGGGATATGCCACATAAGGATTGAAAAAATAATTGGACTTGACCATGAGGAAATCATTGATGATCTTAATGAGAGAAGTTCCGATGCGAAGTTGGGAACCAGATTGCATTAAGTTCAAAGGATTAATGACTGGGAGATGAAGTAGAAACAAACCAATGTAAACTTTTTCCCTAGGAGTTTGTGAAAGAAAGGTGAATTAGGTCAGGAAAAAGAAATAACAGGGCTAAGTTTTTTTTGTTTGTTTTATTTGGGGATGGAAGAGACTTTAGCATGTAGTTTTGAACAGTAAACAGTTTTTAATATATATTCTGGCTTGGATAAATTTTATTTTTATGTTTAAATATTTACCATTATAAACATTAACTGCTGTAAGTGTTTATTAGAGTTAGTGCAGAGAAATTAGGACTCTGAGGTCAGAGATCTGGGTTCTAATCTCAGCTCCCCAGAGTAGTCTCTATGATAACTATAATTATCACTTTTATATTCCCTTCTATGTGTCAGTCACTGTGTTATTAGGCCCTTTTTACATACTGTCATTAAACCTCACCACAAATTAATCTCCAAGGTGAGTATTACACTGTTTTACAGATAAAGAAGCCTGAGCGTTTACTTCTCAGGATCACATAGATTTTCAGTTAATCATGCTATGATTCCAACACAGATATGTCTAATTCTGAAGTTGGTGCTCTTTTTTTCTATATTGCATTGACTTTCTTTCTAACCTGAAATAGTTTCTCAAGTTTTACGTCCCTATTTCCTTATCTGTCAGATAGGGATATTTTATCTGTCACACCTATATCAAAGTGCTAATTGAATACCACAGTATTATTATCTATATTTTGTTTGAAAAGAAAAAATATATATTTGGTTAAATGCCAGACAGACCTTATAAATATGGTCATCTTTAGCACTATCATTTGTCTAAACAGTATTTTACTTTTTAAGGTGGTGGTATCATGGATACAGAAATGTCTGAAGATATAGACCACAACTTAACTCCTACCCTTGACAGCATGTCTTATGGAATGCCGAATCAAACAGGATCTGAAAATTCATTGCTGGATGAAGATGATTATTTTTTGAACTCTGGGGATCTTGCAGGAATTCCAGTCGTTGGTAGTGACAATGAGGATGAACAGGATTTTAGTTCAAAGGACAATCTTGTTTCTTCAATTCATACTGATGATAGCTTGGAAGTAGAGAGAAGAGTCACACAGCATGAATCAGACAATGAAAATGAAATACAGATTCAAAATAAATTAAAAAAAGACTTTCCTAAACAATTTGATCAGGTTTCTGTCTTTAAATCAATACGGAAAGATTTTAGTCTAGTAAGAGAAAACAGCAAAGAGACTTTTTCTGGAAAGGAGAAAAATAGAGACCTAACTTATCTTGAACGTGAAAAACGGTTGGATAAACCCCATAAAGAGTTGGATTCAAGGTTGAAAAGCAGTTTTTTTGATAAAGCAGGTAATAATTGTTGGAATAGAGCCATAAAACAATAAATAACGTACTGATAATAATACAGCTTTTATTACTTCTGATGCTAAGCAAAGTATGAACAGTTAAATTCATTGTAAGCTTGTCATTTTTCTTTTATCCTTGTTCTTTGCAGAGTGACTGAATTTCTCCCAGTAACTATTGGTAATGGTATAAATGGTTGAAAAATAGCTCTAAACCTCATTTCTCCCTCCCCTGGTTGCAATATTTTGATGAGAAGGCAAGATACTCGAATCACCTGTTCATATTCTTTGGTTGAACATTGGAACCTGAAGTTGGATTTAACTTCTTTGTGCTGTAAGCACTAATTCAAACTGCTGTCCCACAAATTAGTCCAAATTAGGGAGGGTTTTTCTTTTTGATAACATTTCTATTTTATGTTTTAGAAGTTTCTTGAGACTCCTCTTGAGCCTCTTTGCCCAGCGTACCCTATACTTAGCTTCAGTTCCATTCTTGAATATACACATTTTCTTATTTCTGTGCCTCTCTTTCCTCCTGCTGTTCCATTTGCCTGAATGTCGTTTTCTCTCTTTGTATATATGCCTGTAAAAGTGCTTCTTATTCAACAACACCTAACTCATAAACCTCTTCTGCCCTATGGTCATCCCTAACCTCTCTACATCAAGAATGTTTGTTTCCTTATCTATATTTCCATAGCATTTTGTTTATGCCTCATTATTTATAGTACTTATCACACGGTATTATAGCTCTATTTGTTTTGCCTTACGTGCTAGTGTAGGAGTTTATTGAGGGCCAGATTGTATCTTATTCATCTTTGTGTTCTTGGGGCCTAATGTGGTGTAGTGAAAATAGTAATATTTCAATAAATGTTCAATAGGTGTGAAAGAAAGCTTGGTAGAATATACCAATCCTTATATTTCTTTTGACAGTGCTAGGAAAACTATGATTGAAAGAACAAATCAGTATTGTTAAAAATAACAATTAATTTAAGTATCCATTATGTACAAGACTCTACAAGGGTATACTGTATTTTTCAGTTTATATTATTCAATATGTATTTTTAGTATCCCTATGAGGGATAAATTTTAAGGGTACTTATCTTCAAGGAACATAGTGTCTAATAGCAGAAGGGACAAGACAAGTCAAGTAGCAGAAGTGTCAACGACCAGTTGAATAGCATAAAACTTAATTTATAATTAAAGACAGTAGTAGAAGAGTTTGTTATAAGGCAGCATAATAAAATTTCTATCAAATAACTGAAACTGTTTTAGGTATTCTTAGGAGAGAGATGATTTTTAACTCAGTGGACAAGGGCAGGTTTTATAGAGGAGAGGTGAATTTTGAACTGAGCTGAGTCTGGAAGACTGTATAAATATTAGGATAGAGGGGACTTGGAATGATATAAGCAGAAATGGGGAAGAACAAACATAAGTAATTTTCAGAACATAGTGGATAATGTAACCACTTTATTTAGGTTTGAACAAGGAAAGAGCATGAGGCAAGGCTAAAAGTTAGATGGGGCCAGATTGTTTGTTTTCAGTGAAACTACCTTTTGGGTATTTTTGGTACCCATTTCACTCTAATGAGCAGCTTCATTGGAAAAGAGAGGTGATTATCAAATGATAGCTTTTAGGTCACTCTTTGTAAGATTTGTTATTCATATACATGTGTTTGTTTTGTTTTGTTTTGTTTTTCTTTCAATAGCTAATCAAGTTGAAGAAACATTACATACCCATTTACCACAAACCCCAGAAACAAACTTTAGGGTAAGTTTTCAGTGTGTATGTAGATTGCTATAACTGTGGCAAGTTTTCTTTATGTGATTTTCTAAACTGTAACTATATGTGTTAGGTAGAGCGCTGATTTTATTTTTTTTAATTTCCTTTATTATTTTCGTAAGGACATCTTTGGAGATGTTCTCAGAAGCCTCTGCTCTTAGATTCTTTATTTGTATTTGATATTTAGACATATATCACATTTACTTGTAAGCATAGGGACTCTAATGAATGTCCGTAGAGTTCTTCATTTCCAGTGAGCTTTTCTTTGGGTGTTAAACCTGAAGAGGAATAATTTTAAAATCTGAATATTTATTAATCCTTTATATTGTGTTTTAGGATTCCAGCTATCCATTTGCCAATAAAGAATCCATTGGTTCGGAACTGGGGAATTCCTTTGCATCAAATGTTAGAATTAAAGAAGAACCTTTGGATGATGAGTATGACAAAGCAATGGCACCACAGCAGGGACTACTAGACAAAATTAAAGATGAACCTGACAATGCTCAAGTAAACATTTCACCTTTTCTTCCCCCTTCTTTTTGTTCCACACATGAATTATTCATTCAAGAAAGGAAGTTCTTGATTAAGAAGTGAAGTGTTGTGTTGATGGGGTGAGAGGAGACTCTTAATGAAGGTTGAGGCAATTGAATTATCTTATAAGAATAATACTAAGGAATCAACCAAAGTTATAGGAAACTTTGTCCAAGTAGTAGTTAAGGCTTTTAATCTACATCGTTCCTTAATACCACTGTTCTGTGAATTTTACATTTTCAGTTCAGGATTAGGCAAAGTGAGTCTTCAAGGATTTGAGATTGATACAGCAGACATGGCTGAAGGTTTATGATGGTTTATGAGTTTATGGTGTGATTGAGTTTATATAAGGTAGTAATAAGCCTTTTGCAGTTGCTGCTAATGAAGTATAGGCTATGTATGGATTTAAGTGTTTTTCAGGAGGGATTAATGGGATTAATTAATCTTTGGAAAAATTAGGTGATTGAAGATCCAGTTCATTAGATCAGTGGGTAGAAGATAAAGGAGGTTTTGATGCTTTGATGGGTGATATAGGATTCCAGTTTTGAGATCTGTGAGTAATAAGGGTAAGGATAGAGCTCTGTTATTTCAAGGTTGCTCTGGAGGTAAAAGTCATAAAGATTCTGTAAGTGTGAATGCTGAAGTCAGTGAAGTTATCCATGCAATTGACGACATTGCAGTGGTTGGAACGGAATAAAGATGCTGTAATCATTTTGGAACGTAGGAAAAGGACCAAGGGATGAATATGCAATAGAGCAGTTGTTTGAGGGTGTTCTGTGTTTTATACAGCTGGTATGAGTGCAGAGGCTGAGAAGTAAAGATAGCATGAATTAGCTATTTTTTTGAAATGACATTTGATGTGGAGAAAGCTTACCTTTCCATATCTTTCTTTTATGTTAGGGGGGTTGAGAATGTGAGACTTCCGTGGAAGAAGTTTTTTTCACTCAGATGTCTCTTAGCAGGGTTTCTCAGCACTATTGACACTTGGGGCCAGGTAATTCTTTGTTGTGAGGGGCTGTCCTGTGCATTGTAGGGTGTTTAGAAGCATCCTTGACCTCTACCTACTAGATGCCAGTAGTACCATGTCTCCAGACATTGCCAAATGTCCCCTGGGGGACAAAATCCTCTGCTTTTGAGAACCACTCTTTTAGAGTAAGGAAATGGAAGAATAGGTGGTTTATAGATGTAGGTGATTTATGTGAGTCAGATTGATGCTTCAATTAAGTGAGAATGCCATGGTGCCCAGTGGAGGGTAGCTGTATAGGGTAGTGATGATAAAGCTGTAGAGTTGGATGGCTGTGAGTGTGGTAGCTACAAAGATGGTAGAGAAGGAATATGAAAATATCTGAATAATGAAAACATGTTAATAAAAGCAGGCAAAGTGGAGGTCGTGGATATCTGAATTAGAGATAAGGAAGTGTCCTGACACCTAGGGGAGGTTCATATGGCAGTGTATGCTTTAGAAGACTACTACCATGCCTATACAGGGCAGATCTCCTGTCTTTTAAGTGCCCCAATCTGGACATGGGAAATCCATAAGAAATCATAATGCTGGCAGGGTACCAAAGACGTCACTTTCTGCCTGTACATGACCCAGTGACACTTTCCTTGAGCTGAAAAGGCAGTTATAGCAAAGACCAAACACATTGTGGGAAGAGGGCATCAGGAAAGGTTATTTGTATTGGGTTGGCCAGAAGGTTCGTTCAGGTTTTTCTGTAATGTCTTATGGAAAAATCTGAATGAACCTTTTGGCCAACCCAATATTACTGTTTTGAAAACAATCAGAGATTCCAGTGACTGGAGGATACCAACAGGGTGGAACAGTAAGGACACAGAAACACCTACATTTTTATCACTATTCAAAGTGTAATAATGTGTTATAAAATGCCGTATATGAAGTTTCATCATGATTTTGGGGAAGAACTTCCCTAAGGGCTCACCACCTGATTGACTGGACTCTTTGAAACCAAGCAGGAATCTGTGTAAGTTCTAGGCATAAGGTCCAGAAGCATTCTTTGCCCTGACCCCACAATAAGGCAGTTCCAGCATGTGAGTGGTAAAACTAGGTGTTCTCTGAGAAGTCCTTTCTGTTATCAGCTGCACCAATCCTGTGGGATCATACCTTTGATAACTCTTCTAGAAATCCCTGACCTCATGTTAAACTATGGATACCTGGTTCTTTCTTTTTTTTCCATCCCTTCCTTACCTTCTCTCTCCCCCTCCTCTCCCTTTCCCTCCTACTTCCTCTCCCCCCCTCCTATTTCCTCTCCCCTTCTCCCACCTCCTTCTTCATTGTCCTGTTCTTTTAGGTATTTCTCCTCAGTGCCCATTGGAAATCTATATTCCTTGTTCAACACTGCCTAATGCTTTATTATTCTTATTCATTTCCCATAGACTGGAAAAAGGAGTTCCAACAAATTATTCTCTTAGACTCTGAAAACAGTACTATAACCTAATGCTCATAAAATACTGATAGATTTAACAGCTGTGGTCAGTCTTTACTTTTGACCATCAGTTACTTGTAATAACTTTTCTCTTGGTGTAATAAGATCATAGCTTTAGCTTCTGGCACCTCGTCAAAACCTCCCTTGGCTTTTCTCTTTGCTTAACTTGTAGCTCTGCTTTCAACTCACTTCCTTATTCTCCTTTTTACACAGTTCACTTTGGTCTTAATTTTTTTACTTTCCCATGTAAATCACTAAGATACTGAAATGTATGTTTTATATATATATTTACTTCTTCCCAATTGTTCTTATTTCTTCAGTTATAATTTTCTGGGTTTGCCAGTTGTCATCCTCCTGCCTCTGTTACTGGCGTAGCATCATTTGTCCTCCCAGTTACATTTCTTCATTCAAATCCTATTGCATGTTACTATAATATATTCTGTATATAATACTTACAGATACTTTTATGTGTACTATGTTGTTTCATCCTCCAATATAAGAAGGCCAGAGTAGATGATATTAACTCTATGTTTAGGTGAGGGAACTGAGATTCATAGAGGTTAATAAGTTAGTTACTCAAGGCCATATGGCCAGGAAGGAGCCAATCAGCGGCCTTCATCAAGGCCTTATTATTATAGTCTACCAAACTTTCTGTAAATAAAAGTTGTTTAAAAAAATGACTAGAGAAGTTTTTAAAATAAAAACTTTAAAGAGCCAGAGACGTCATTTTTTCTTCTCCCCTTTTCTGTAGTTTCTGAAAGCTGGAAATTCAGTAAATATTATATTAAAATCATGATTTTTTTTCTTTTCTTTTTGCTCATAATAAAAGGAGAGCTGATCTGTAATCTCTCATTGAAGTAAATGGATTAGAATGGGAAAGCAAATTAATTAATTGTCACAATAGTGAGTCATATAGTCTTGGCAAATGGAATGCAGTAATTAAATGTTGGGGCTTGTTTTTTTAGCCATGTCAAGTTAACTTGGTTATAGAAACTGGGTTCTTCATTTCTAAAATACTGTCTTGGGATACTGATACATACTTTATGGTAAATAAAGGGAAGGTAAAGATATTGTGGTAGAGGATTTTTTGGTTTTGTTTTGACACCTGTTTTTCTGTTTCTGAAAGCTTTTGGGTCATCAGATTTTCAATTCTCAAGTTATTAGTCATTGATTTTTTATTAAATATTTGTAAAATTAATCATTGTTGGGAGGATACTAACATAAACATGATTATGCCTTGAAGGCATTGTGGGGTGTACAAGCAGAGTACTTAAGATATATTCTTACTTTACTATATTATATAAGTAATATGTACTTGAGGCTTAAGGAATGTATCAGAAGTTTGAAATAACTGTCACAGACAGTGAGAAAGAGAGCTGACTGGAGACCATGAAAGTATGCCCATGAATACTGATTTTTTTTCTGGAGTTTTCTGAGATTTAAAAAAATTTTTTACTTGTAATATGCTTTCATATACTATATAATGTAGGAATGTTATGATGAATCAATATTAGAAAATCTCTTAATATACGTAACTTCATCAACAGGTCAAATAAGACTAGATATATAGATAGATAGACAGATGCCGAAAGACATTTCATGTAATTCACTATGCATTTCTTATAATAGATACTCTCTTGATCAGGTAAGGAAATACCTACTTCTGATCAATAACAGTCATTGAATTTAAAAGTAAAATGATGGAAACCTTCTGTTAATAATAACTAAATGAACACAAATTACTGATGTCAGCATTATTATTTAACTCTTGTTGGATTTTCGACCCAATACATGTTAAAGAAATTAGAAGAAATAATGGAAAAGGGGAGACAAAATTATCATCATTTACTGGTAAGGATCTTTATTAGAAAATTAATAGAATTCTTGAAAGTTCAGTGGAGTAGCTAGTTGAATTTTAGTTGTATAAAACAGAGAAATATTTCTATAAATCAGTTGTTTCCCAGTTAGACAATATTATGAAAAGATATACTGTTTCCTACAGCAGAGCAACTAAAAAGTGCTTGTATCAGATAAAACAACTTGAATGAATGCAGAGACTTTTTTTTAATATAAGATATTAGTTATTCCTAAATTAAGATACAGTATGGATACAATTATGAAAATATCAGTGGTTTCTTATGTTTTGAAGAAAAATAAATAGGCATGCACACACACGTTATGTTACATGTATGCTCTAAACATTAGAGATGTGGTGAACTATTAAATGATTAAACATCTCACAGTTATTTTCATTAGGATAGTGTGATATCATAAGAGTAGTCAGCCTGATAGTGATGCAGAATAGATTGCCATAAAAGAGATATTTTTAGAGGAAGTTGATATGTTAATGGTGAGTGGAAGGAATTCATCAGCTATTCAAAGAAAGAAAAATGCTCATTATATATCAAAATAAATATCAATAAATCACAGATGGATTAAAGCAGGAGTTGGCAAATTATCTTTCAGCAGTGGGCCAAATCCAGCCTGCCCTCTTTGTTTCTGTTTTGTTTTTCTGCATACTGTTTTTATAGTTTTATTGGATCATTGCCACATTCATTCATTTACATATTATCTATGGGTACTTTTGCTCTACCAGGGCAGACTTGAGTAGTCATGATAACATGGCCTGAAAAGTCAAAAATATTTAGTATCTGGCCCTTTGCAGATAAAGTTTGCTGACCTCTGGATTAAAGGACTGTATTATAAACAATGAAAACTTTCTTAGTATTTTATTGTGGAAGTAGAACTTTGTAAGAAATAGAAGGAATCGCAAAGGTAAAAACTGTCAATTTTTTGGCATAAAAATGGAAACTTCAGTATGTAAAATTTATCTCATAGTACATATTGAGGAAATGTTGATAACAGATGTTGTCAGAGGTTAATCTTGTTACCTTATAATGCTTTTTTTGTAAATGGATATTAAAAAAATTGGGAACTAAAACAAGAATGGGAAGAGACTTTTAAGTGGCTTTTATCACAAATTGCTAGAATAAATAAAATTAAGGTTTTAAAAAACAATCTGTCATTGTGCATCAAGAACCTTTACTATGTACTTATTTACCTAGTAATTCCACTTTAAGATTCTTTCCTTAGGAGATAATCCTAAATATGAGTGTATGAGTATTCACAGAGATGTTCATCATGGCATTACCGATAAAAGCGAATGTGTGGAAACAAGTGAACCAACACTGGGTTGTGGTTATGTAATTTCAGTGCCATTCAAGGCTATCAAATTGGAGACTGAGGCCAAGGGAAAAATTAGTAATACTGATCCTGTCTTTACTTATTTAAAGTTTTGGTATTTTGTTTATCATGGATTATGGCATTTTAAAAAATATTACTGAGATTTTTGGTGCCTTAATTTGTGCCTGAGGCAAGTGCCTCACCTCACCCCAGTCTCATCCTTATGTAATCTGATATGTCTATTAAATAATATATATCAGTATTTTCTCGAATTCCAGTAATGTACAGACACGTCTTATCACAAAAAAAGGCGGTATGTTGGAGTTGCCTGAGAATTCCAAGAATAAGACGTCTTTCAGGGTTTTGCAAGTTTCAGTGTGATAAACAGTGAATTAAAATACAAAGTTAAATCTACCACTTAGGGGCTTCACAATGCAATAATAGAATTGTAAAAGCTAACAACAGCACTAAAAACTTGTTGTACAACTCAGTTATATGTGGTTATTCATGACTAAAAATATATTTACATTCACTAAAAAAATTATTGAAATAAAAACCCAGACTTTTAAAATATTTTTTTTAGAATTCTCAGACTGCCTGGTCTGCCTTTACAGACCTCAGGGATTCTTGGACTTCAACCTTAGAAACACTGATATTTAGCCACTAGAATTTATTTTAGAGTAATATGTGATAATATGCAAATGTTCAGTTGATTCAAGTGACCAAAAAATCATTTTATAAGAATGCTATATTCAGTATAATTACAGCTGTGTGAAGAAACACATACGGCAGGGGAAAAGACTGGAAAGAAATATAACAAAAGAGTAACAGTGGTGGTTTTGGGGTAATGGAAATATGATTAGAATTTTTTTCTCATTTCTACTTGTCTAAATTTTGTATAGTAAGTGTGTATTACTTTTATAATAGATAAACAGCAACTTAAAATACTGTAATAATATTAAGAATTTAAAAAATAATTTGTGAATATCTGGTAGTGCTATAGGCTAGATAGCTACTGTCATTTTTTACCTCAACTCTCAGCGTGTAATAACATGTTATATACCCTTATTGTAATTATAGTTTGCTTGCTATTACTTATTAATGTTAATGTAGTAAACATTTTCCACCCCTATATAGCCATAGTAAAATGTCTTGAATATCTGGATTTCTTTAGATACATTGTATTTATTTTTTCTTTACATATTTATTTATTTTTCTTTTTAAAAGGAGTATAGTCATGGCCAACAGCAAAAAACTCAAGAAGGGGAACTGAAAATTAGTGCTGTGTTTTCAGTCAGTGGCAGTCCTCTTGGTAAGAAGCAGAACTGAATGAATGAATCATGTTTATTTATTCTGACCAGTATGAGTGAGAGGAAGTATCTACTTATATTAGTAAACTAGGCAGTTTAGAATGGCTTTAATTGTGTATTGCATAATTAGTGTTGGGTTTCAAGACTAGCTCTAGAAGAGAAAGAAAGGATGCCTACTTAAAATTCATGGTAAAAAGTAAAACTTTTTTTTTTTAATTTTTTTTTTTTAAAGCTCCACAGTTGACTACTGGCTTTCAGCCTTCACTGGCATCATCTGGCATGAATAAAATGCTTCCTTCAGTTCCAGCCACAGCTGTTCGAGTTTCCTGTTCTGGTTGTAAAAAAATCCTCCAGAAGGGGCAAACTGCTTATCAGAGGAAAGGGTCTACTCAGCTATTCTGCTCTACACTGTGCCTCACTGGATATACAGTTCCACCTGCCCGCCCACCGCCTCCTCCCACTAAGAAAACTTGTTCAAGTTGCTCAAAGTATAGCAGAATTCTAAATTATCGTCTTTGCTTTCTTTCTTTCAAGATACTTTGTTCTTATTTATGTATTGTTTAATTTTCTACCTTTCTGTGTTTTTTGAGAAATATCACATTGTTTACTACGAACATGTTGTTGCTGCTTTTAATCTTTCTGGACGCTAGGTGCTCAGCTTTCTTTTAACTTTAAGTAATGTGCCTTTTATATAATAAGAGGTGCTTTTGAAATGTACTTTACTATCCTTGTTAGTTGAGATGCTTGAGAAAACAAAAACTATGCCATTTAGGGGTATTACATGACCACAATATTTTATCTTGTAACTGTAGGCAATAGATGCTTAGATGCAACAAATATTTAATGTTTATGTAATGTTTTCTATTAGGTAGTTGGAATTCATTTAATACTTTTCATCTTAACTTTAATTGGATTCCAGTGTATGTATTTTTATTTTCTCAGTATCTCAGGTATCTCAGAGGTTGTATTTCAGTGTTTAACAACAAAAAATTATGACCTTAGATCCTAATAAAATCATCCTGATATATTTGAGGAATATGAACTAATTTAGGCTAATTTTGCAATGTGGTCATTAGACACTGTTTAAATAAGTCAGAAAAAGATGAATAATGCTCTTGTTCTGAAATATTTTGGCTTCTATTATTAAGCTACTCAAACCATGATTTATTAGTTTCGATATTTGTACTTAGAGTACCTCACATGGATGCTGCCCTTTCTCTGTCTAGAAAGGGAAAAGATGCTCCCTCTTCTGGTTCAATTGGAAAACGTATAGAAAGAAACTTCTAAAAGAAATCTGAGTATGGTTAGAAGATGTTCTAGAAGTTATATGTGCATCCCCTTATGTTTCAAGTTTAATTTAGTAAAAATAGACTTCTGTTTGAATTATGAAACATGTTTAAAAAAGAATACTTATAGATGATATCTAATTTCTATATTCCAGTATATTCATCCTTTCTAAGATCAAATCAACTAGAAAATTATAATTTTTATGAGGTTCTTTGTTCTTTTCCTATTTTGCTATGAAATAATTTCACGTAAAAACTTCCTTTTATGTTTCTTTATTTAATTCTTACTTTAGCGATCAGCGCTTTCTAAAATTTCAGCAGTATTTCTCCTTTCATAATAATAGTCATAGATACTTAGTGCAAAGATTTAACAGTGAATTTCAAAATGACCATAGGAAACTCATGGAAGTTTTAAAATGTGTGCCTTCTTTCTGTGTTTTTAAATTCTTGTCCATACATGTTGTTCTTCTCATCTAAATTTACTATATCTCTTTGGTCTCTGGTGTTTGCCTTGCTTTATCTGGAGATGGTCATTTTTACCTGCATGTCATATCTTAGCTCTGTCTGATCTTATGTAATTTAATTATTTTAAAGATTAAATGTTCTTCTTTTGTAATGTTTGGTCTTATCCATGAATTTTAACCTGTCGTTCTTTGACTTTTAACTGTTCTACCTTTTCATTCACTTACTCTGTTATCTTTTTTTTTTATCCCGCTTTCTTTTCCATTCACCCCTTTCTGTTCTTCTTTCAGGTACTCCTTGCCTGCCTATCACCTCAACTTTTCTTTTTCATTTTCTGTCTTTCTTAATTTTCCCCCCTTCTCTTCTTACAGAACACCTTTTTCTCTTGTTGCTCAGTTCTCAACCATTTATCAGTCTTGTTTTTCTTTGTATTCCATTTCATTTTCTGTACTACTCTTTCATCTCCTTTTCACCACTTTTCCTTTCCTTCCCTTTTTCCTCTCTTATTTACACAGTCATTACAGCAGTTTGGGATAGTCTGGTTTATCTGATTATAAAATTATTGATTTGGATTGTGCCTGAAATATAAGGAAGTTAGATTCAAAGAAGTTAAATGATTTGCTCAGTGTCACATAGCTGGGTAGTTCTGGCACATGCATTTTCCCCTCTAGATAGTCCATGCATCGAACAGGTTTAATTTGTAAGTCAGTCCCTATAAGAAGGATTTTTACTTTAATTTGAATAGGTGGAGATAGAAAAGATTTCCTTCCTGATAACTACTGCTGTTTTTGTAGACCACTAGAAATATAGCAGCAGCACTTAGGTTGAAAGAAACTCCTTAGCTGTTTGGAGTAACAATTTTATTTTTGTTAGTCTTTTATTAACCAAATCTCTTAGCATCTTGAATTTAACCTAAACTCTGAATATGTTTTGGCTAAATCATTTGATTTTTAGATTTCATTAGTAATAGGGACCTAACAATTTGTTTTAAAAAAATCAGTTTCAAATCCTACACTTTAAAAGAGGTAACTTGGAGGGTACTTTTGTTAATACTGTTAGAAAGATCAGTTTTCTTGATAATAATGGCAGTAAGAGAGGTAACTGTTTCAGGGTTGTCTGTACCATCTGAATTTTTACTATCTGAAATGAGATTGCTCCTTCTCATTCTGATAAGATGTAATCTGTTACAATAAAATGTAATGCAGTTGGATGTTAAGCATACTGAGAGTAGTGAGAAGTAGCTACTTTTATGATTCTATTGCTTTGGTCCACGCTGTTCTCCAACTTTTATCTCCTTAGCCTTCTAGAAAATATCTATTTAAGGTCCAGCTAAAATACCACCTTTTGGGTAGCTTTTCATGTCACATCTTGTCTGAAATAATTGTTTCTTCATTTCTATTTCTGTAGTACATTTTATGTATATAAATACATTTTTCAAAATTATTTTACTTTTTTATATTAAGAATGCTTCTTTTATGGTATTTTATATATCATTTGTCTATTTGTCCCAGTATACCGTGAGCTCCTTGAGGGCTTGTACCATATCTTGACATAGGGCTGGGCTAGTCCCTGGCTCAAGGTAACTGCTCATTAAATACCCTTATAAATGAAATAGATTAAAACCCAATAAAAAGTAGCTGGAAAGGCCAAAAAAAAAAAATGCAGGTAATAGAGCACTCTCAAGCTACTAAGTATTGAAGATGAGGTGTGATGTTGTGTATTACAGCATAGTACAATACAATATCAGGTGCTCCTTGTGATGAGTCCCATTATATTTACTATTATCTTTTTTTTGAAGCAGAGATATTTGTAATCTTTTCTAAAAAGTACTATATTAGTATAATCTGCTTAAAATGTAAGAGTGAATATAACAGTTTATTTACTAAATATTATGTGAGTGTATACTCATGGGAGAGAGACATTGTTTACAGAATTTCATCAAGGTATTTTTAAAATTGGTTTTTAAAATGGTTTGTACTTAAGCGATAAACTACTATGTAAGAAGAGTAATTTGGGAGTGGGATAAGGGGTGGAGTGGTAGGGAGTCTTAATCCTTAGGGTTTTAATCTTCATTGTCTTTTACTGCTAATGCTTACAAATTGAATTATTTAGATCTGGAAATGTTCAATTTTATATAATCATGCTAGAATATGCACTGTGTAGTTTGAAATGTATTCCTACTTTTAAAAGATAGTGGCTTTAAAATTTTTCAAGTGTAATGTTAAAGAGTATTTTTGAACATATAGGAGAGCCTAAGGAAGAAAATGAAAATCTTCTATAATCCTACCTACTAGAGATAGTGAATGATAAATGTCTGATGTATATCTTTTTAATCTTGAAACATAGTGTACTAATCCTGACAACAGTTCTATGAACTAAGCCGTGTATTAGTTTCATTTTATACAACAGAGGTTGAGGATCAAAGTGATTTATCACTTTATTCAAGAAAACCCAGGTTTTCAGATTTAAATACCAATGCCCTTTCCCTACACTTTTAATTGCCTTTGTTCTATTTGATACTTTTAGTTGACAAAAAGGAAAAAAATGAATTATACTATGACTTATTTTATCTTTGTTGTCATTTTTAGAGACATTTTAAATCCAAAGGATGTGATCAGTGCCCAGTTTGAAAATACCACCACTAGTAAAGATTTTTGTAGTCAGTCATGTTTGTCAACATATGAACTGAAAAGAAAACCTGTTGTTACCATAAATACGAATAGCATTTCAACCAAATGCAGCATGTGTCAGAAGAATGCTGTTGTAAGTTATCTTTTTACTTTAGTGGGGGAAGGAGTCTGATATTTGTGCTTAAAGGACAGCTTTTGATGGTCTTTGCTTGTTGTTTCTAAGTTATTACTTTATAATTCCTAGATTCGACATGAAGTTAATTACCAGAATGTGGTACATAAACTTTGCAGTGATGCCTGCTTTTCTAAGTTTCGCTCTGCTAACAACCTCACCATGAACTGTTGTGAAAACTGTGGGGGTTACTGCTACAGTGGCTCTGGACAATGCCACATGCTCCAGATAGAGGGACAGGCTAAGAAGTTTTGTAGTTCCACGTGTGTCACAGCATATAAGCAGGTACATGACCATATTTAATCCTGACGTCTTTGTTCCTTTCAGAAGGATTGAATTTTTTGGATAGAAATTATTTATGAAAATGTCACAAAAATATTAATTTCTTGTTATTAGCTTAATTAATATTTTTTGCATGTAAATAGTATTTTTCAAATGCATGTGTGTTAAAAAACTCTTGTTATAGAGTTTTATAAGTACCATATACAGTTGTACCTCAGTATCCATGGGGAATTGGTTCCAGGAACCCTGAGGATATCAAAATCTGAGAGTGCTCAAGTCCCTTATATAAAATGGTGTAGTAATTGTATATAACCTACACACATTCTCCTGCATACTTTAAATCATCTCTAGATTATTTATAATACCTAATACAATGTAAATGCCATGTAAATAGTTGCCAGTGTGCAGCAAATTCTTTTCCTTTTTGGAATTTTCTGGAATATTTTCGATCTGCATTTGGTTAAATCTGCAGATGTGGGACCCAGGGATATGGAGGGCAGACTGTATTTCTCTCAATGCATTTGAAATATCGATACATGTTTTTAGGGTATGGATTATTTTATTTAAAACATGATTAATGTTTTTGAACAGATTTTGAAAATGCAGAAAAGCACAAAGAAGAAAAAATTAGGCATCTCTCAGAGTTACCCAGTCCCATCATTTTGTTGTATACCTTCTAATCTTTGCTTCTGCTAATCCCAGACTCTCAATCCATCCCTCTCCCACTCCCATTCCCCTTGGCAATCACCAGTCTATTCTCTATGTCCCTCATTCTGTTTCTGTTTCATAGATAGGTTCATTTGTGTCAGATTTTAGATTCCACATATAAGTGATATCATATGGTATTTGTCTTTCTCTTTTTGACTTACTTCACTGAGTGTGATAATCTCTAGCTGCATCCATGTTGCTGCAAATGGCATTATTTCGTTCTTTTTTACGGCTGAGTAGTATTCCATTGTATATATGTACCACATCTTCTTTATCCATTCATCTGTTGATGGACATTTAGGTTGTTTCCGTGTCTTGGCTATTGTTAATAGTGCTGCTGTGAACATAGGGGTGCATGTATCTTTTTGAATTACAGTTTTGTTTGGTTATATGCCCAGGAGTGGGATTGCTGTATCATATGGTAATTCTACTTTTAGTTTTCTGAGGAACCTCCATACTGTTTTCCACAGTGGTTGCACCAATTTACGTTCCTACCAACAGTGTAGAAGGGTTCCCTTTTCTCCATACCCTCTCTGGCATTTGTTATTTGTAGACTTTTTAATGATGGCCATTCTGACTGGCGTGAGGTGGTACCTCACTGTGGTTTGTTTTGATTTGCATTTCTCCAATAATTAGCAATGTTGGCAGTTTTATTTATACTAGATTTATATTTTGTTAGTAAATTTTGATCAAAAGTTCAATTTTAAAATTGGTAAACCCAAAGGAATAGTAAGAACTTTTTACATTTTCAGTTTTACAATATTTTCCTGTTTCACTGCATTTGCTGATCATTCTTTTTCTTAGAATAGTAAATTTTTATACAGTTAACCAAAATTGGTGAATTTAATAATGTTAATTTGGAAATTTCTCTTAAATGTTCTTAAAACTTTGCAATGATTTTGTAATTTTAAACATTCTAGTGTTTCAATTTATTTCTTGTTAATATACAAGCACATTAAAAGAGATTAGTGTTAGTTACTATTTATTTCTTCCTTAGAAACACCTTGTTTTTGTTCTCAAAGGGGAGGAAAAACCCAGTATCTTCATTAGCTTTATTCTTGTACAAAGGACAGTTTTCCTGATATTGTATCACATTCTAAAAGTTACTTTGATTCAGTCCATTGAAAGGTGGTATACATTCCATAAGAGAAGTATTTTGAAATATCTTAATTTTAAATTTATTACTTTTAATTTAGCCAATACCTATTAAAATTTTCACATATTAGTGTGTACTGTGGTTCAGAGAAAGAACGTGGATTTAGAAGTAAAGCAGATCTTGGTTTGATTCCCAGACTTTCTGTTCAAATAGAATTTAACCTTGGGGAAAGCAGTTAAACTCCCCGAGTCCATTTTCTTATCTGTAAATGGGTATATACTAGCAATGTCACTGGGATGTTTTAGGATTATATGAAGTAAGAATGAGAAAGCACCTAGTATAGAACCTGGAACATTGAAGATGGTCATTTCTGCTACTTTTCTTTTCTTCCTTATATAAAATTTATTCAACAAACATTAGATGTGATTCCTGTTTTGAGGTGTTACATGTCCCCTGGGGGAGATACAAGTGTGTAGAGATGTTACGATAGAAGTGTTATGGGATGTAGAGGGGCACAGTGGAAGCAAGGTCAGTTCTACTTGATAGTTTCAGAGATAACTCTTGACCTAATTCTTACAAATGAAGTTTGTGTTTGCAGTCCTGTTGGAGGAGGAAAGGAGAAATAGGGTTGGAGATACAGAAGAGATTCCAGAATGTAGGAATATGCTCACTTGAATATGTATTTATTTTAATAGTAAGTATAACAGACTTATCGTTGAAGAGGACATAGAGATCTTGAAATTATCTTAATGGGTGCTGGATATACCTTATAAGTTATCCTGAATGTATGACGTGTTAATAGTATTTAGCATTATTTGCTACTAAATCACTGAGTGGAAATTTAAGATAACAGACTCTTTCGTTGCTTATATTTGGACACTTGGGATATGCAAAGTTTCCTCCCACTTTATTGCTTAGAGTGTGCTTTGTTGTTGTTATTATTTGTTTTGGCTGCACCACGCGGCATGCGGGATCTTAGTTCCCTGACCAGGGATTGAACCCACGCCCCCTGAAGTGGAAACGCGGAGTCTTAACCACTGGACCATCAGGGAAGTCCCTGTGCTTTGTTATTATTAGTGGTAGAATATTTGAGTGTGAATTTTCTAGTAAGTTTATTAATTTCCTTGGATTCACATTTCATTGCTATATATAGCACCTTTTGTGGGAAGTTCTTCCAATTCTTTGAATAGTGTAAGAGCATGAATTCCCTGTTGTGTAATATTTTAAATAGTGGGTTTTTTTGTTTGTTTGGAGGTTTTGTACAATATATTCTTGCAGCTTATTTATTTTATACATAGTATTTTGTGCTTAACCCTGTAACCTTATCTTGGGGGAAGGCTAAAATAGTGCGTTTAAAACTATAGTTATAACAAATTAATAGATCCCAAAATTAATTGCTAGGTTGTGCCCAACATATTTTTTAATGAAGTAGAGTAGAGTGGAAAAATATCAAAGTGCATCACATGTTATCATGATATATATTGTTTTATAAAACCTTTCAGTTTTATATACATACACGTTTAATACACAAACACAAAACCTCAGAAGTATGTGTTACTGGGTCACTTTGTAAAATTTATTTCTTACTGAGGATTGTAATCATAAAAGTTTGGAAGCCACTAATTTAAAATATTTCAACAGTGTTAAGTATAAACATTTCAAAGAATTATGCTTTTACTTGTAACTTGGTAAAAATGAATGTTATTTTATTCTCTTAATAGAAATCAGCCAAAATTACACCATGTGCGCTTTGCAAATCATTGAGATCCTCAGCAGAAATGATTGAAAATACCAATAGCTTGGGAAAGACAGAGCTTTTCTGTTCTGTTAATTGCTTATCTGCTTACAGAGTTAAAATGGTTACTTCTGCAGGTAATACTGGTTTCATAAACTTTATAAATATAATAGTTGAATAACTTATGGTTATTGCTTTGTTGTTATAGCGCAGATTTTTGTCCAAATTTAGTTGATTTTTAACGCAAATTTAAAATACTTCAGATCTGTGTTGTAAAATATCACCTCTTGATTGCTTATTTTATGTTTATTTAGTTGCGCCTATTTGTGCATTCTTTCTTACCAAAAGAATTTATGGCTTTTAAAATGTATTTTCTTTATCTACACCTGATTTATTTCAAGATTCATTTATTTTTTAGTTTCAGGGTGTAGACTGTGACAACTTTAAATAAACAGAAATATTTTTGACGTTGTTAGTTTTTGTCTATATGTGAGGTAACTAAGTTTAATTTCAGTTCCTGCAACTTGACTTGGCTCTTGAATTTTCATGTATCATATAATACTTATTTTCTCATACATTTGTTTACATTTGTATTACTCATTAGCTTTTATTTTGATTTGCTAAGGTGTACAAGTTCAGTGTAACAGTTGCAAAACCTCAGCAATCCCTCAGTATCACCTAGCCATGTCAGATGGAAGTATTCGCAACTTCTGCAGCTACAGTTGTGTGGTAGCTTTCCAGGTATGGCTTCAGGACTCTTCCTTTTCTCCAGTTAGTTGCCTGTGATAGTAAAGTAAACTTATTAGGTGGTACTAAGTGCCTGGATTGCCTAAATTTCTACCTCAGTCTTTTTAAACTTGGGTTCTTTGGTCCATCCTATTTTTGGAGGCATGTTATTTAATTGCCTTCTGTGAAATTAAATGGTACTGTTATTACCTAGATTATCTATTGGGAGGATATTATTTTTAAAGAATATTATTAAATTATTTCATTTTTTAATATAAATATCACTCCCCCCATTCAGCTATAAGCTGCTCAAAGGCAGGGATGTTTGCCTTTTCACAAATATATGTTAAGTGCCTAGAACTGTGCTTGACATAGGTAGGTATTCAGTACCTTCTTGTTTGAACAAATGAGTAGATTGATCTTTTTGTTTGTTTCTTCTTTCAGAATTTGTTCAACAAACCAGCAGGAATGAATTCTTCAGTGGTGCCCTTGTCTCAGGGCCAAGTAATTGTAAGCATCCCTACAGGTTCAACAGTGTCAGCAGGAGGCGGTAACACCTCTGCTGTTTCTCCCACCTCCATCAGTAGCTCTGCTGCAGCTGGTCTCCAGCGTCTTGCTGCCCAATCCCAACATGTTGGGTTTGCACGAAGTGTTGTAAAACTCAAGTGTCAGCACTGTAACCGTCTCTTTGCCACAAAACCAGAACTTCTTGATTATAAGGTAGAGTAAAGGAGCATGATAGAGGGTTCGAGTATAAACTGGTCTATCTGTAAACTTATTTCTGACTTTTCACCTTTCAGAAATACACTATTTGTTTTGAAAATAAGAGGGATAAAGATTTCCACAAGATAAACCAAATGTTTAATTAGTACTTAATGATTATTTCTTTGCAGGGTAAAATGTTTCAGTTCTGTGGCAAAAATTGTTCTGATGAATATAAGAAAATAAATAATTTAATGGCAATGTGTGAATATTGTAAAATTGAGAAAATTGTAAAGGAGACTGTGCGATTCTCAGGTGCTGACAAGTCATTCTGTAGTGAAGGTAAAGATAGAAGATTATCTTACCTACTGAGCATGTTTGTTGTTTCAAAAGTAGTTGATGATTTAAGCTGTCACTGTGTAAGTTTATTTTATCTTTTGTGTATAACACCAAAACCTTTTTGTTTTGTTTATACTTGGTTCTCTCTTTTCTGATCTAATTCTTCATATTATATAGATGTTAAAATGAAGAAAAATCTCCTCAATGTGTATAGCAAAAAATGGTGGTGATGTGAAAAACATTTAATGTTAGTTATTAGGTTGATAGGGATCCTTTAGTTCTTGTATTTATTTCTAAAGGGAACTGCTTAAATTTTGGGAGCATCCTAAGATAATACTTTTATTGTTTTAAACATCCATTATGTTTCTGAATATAAATGATCTGAATATGTGAATCAGTGTCTTCCTTATTTAGATGACTGTAAGGTTAGAATGTTTTGTTTTACTCTAAAACCATGCAGGATTAGCCTCCTAGGCTAGTGGCTTTCAAACCTTTTGACCACGACACAAACAAGACATACATTTTACATTGTGACCCAGTGTATGTTCACATACCCAAATAAAACAAAAGTTTCATGAAACAAAACTGATTTTTACCATATATGATGCACTGTAATATTTGCTCTGCTGTCTTACTTCGTTTAAAAACAGAAAATGATAGTATTAATCCTCTAAATTGACCTCTTGATCTACTAATTGGTGAGAACCCAAATGTGCAAACTTTGTTGTAGGACATTTAAATTAAAGATGTAGATACTTATTATTTCTCCCTAATGTTAATTTTATCTTCTCTGATTTTTTTAGGTTGCAAATTGCTTTATAAACATGACTTGGCAAAACGCTGGGGAAATCACTGTAAAATGTGCAGTTATTGTTTACAGACATCTCCCAAATTGGTACAGAATAATTTAGGGGGGAAAGTAGAAGAGTTTTGTTGTGAAGAGTGCATGTCCAAATATACAGTTCTGTTCTATCAGGTAAATATAATTCACATTCCTGGGTTTTTCAAGTCAGGGCATATTTTTCCCTTCTTTTTTTCTTTCAAATAGTGTGAAGGGCAATTAATGATTTAAAACTTAAGTATTAAATGTATTCTGTTCTCCTCTAGTATTAATATAAGATTTTAAAAAGACTTTAATGTCACTGAAGTTACATTTGTTTTTAATTTCCTTGTAGAAGACATATCAGTCTTAAAACATTAAAATATTTAAAATTATATTCATTTATTAACTAAAATGAATTGTGTTCTGATGTCTTTAAGGAAGATCGGTCTATTTCCATTTCACTTATTTTAAAATTACTATTTATTGGCATCTCTATAATGTGACCTTTTTTAATGTACAAAATAGTTGATAGGTAAGTAATTATTTCCAAATTTAGGATCGTTAACCTTCATTTTTTAAAAAACTGAATTATAGTTGAGGTATGATATTATATAAGTTAACAGGTATACAATATAGTGATTCACATTTTTTAAAGGTTATACTTCATTTATAGTTATTATAAAATATTGACTGTATTCCCTGTGTTGTACAATATATCCTTATAACTTATTTTATACATAATTGTTTGTACCTCTTAGTCCCCTACCTCTATATTGCCCCTCCCCCCAGGATAGTTAACCTTCATTTTTGTGATCTAAATTCTAAGTAAATTTCCTCACTTGTTAACCTGTGGCCTGCTTTTATTCCATCAGACCATAGACAGTTTGTTTTTTACTTCTTTACTATCTTCTGTTTCTTTTTCAGATGGCCAAATGTGATGGTTGTAAGCGACAGGGTAAGCTCAGTGAGTCCTTGAAATGGCGGGGAGAAATGAAACATTTCTGTAACCTGCTTTGTATCTTGATGTTCTGTAATCAGCAAAGTATGTGTGACCCACCTTCACAAAATAATGCAGGTAAAATTAAACTTTAGTCTTTGGTCAATGTCAGGGACTAACTACTGTTCTACAAGTTGAGAACATTAAGTAGTTGTCAATAATTTCATGAAACGTAAATTTCATTCTATTCAAATGACATTAACATTTAGATCTCTTTTTGTTTAACACCTTAGATTAATGCCCTGTAAAAACGAGTTCTTTTAGTTTTCCCTGAGCATGTTGAGTCAAATAAACTCTGTAAGAACTTTATGGGGAAGAATAGCAGTTAATATTTTATAATTGAAGATATACATCTTGACTTCCTTAGAAAAGGATTTGAGAGAAAGAACATAGAATCTAAATCACATAGCCTTTTAAATATACCACATGCATAGTTAGGCAAGAGAAGGTACATGGAATACTTTCAAGGTTCACTAATTAAAAAACAGAAAAAAATCCAGTTAATCCTGAAGTGACACTTGGCTCCAACAGAATTTACTCTAACCTAAAAGCATTGTTTAAACTCCTTGAAATGTTGGTTCTGTGTATGTGCATATAAATTACATGAGATTTTCTTATTTTTGTTTATTTTAATCAGGAAGTGTTTCCATGGTGCCAGCTGCTTCATCAGGGCCCCCATCTCACAGAAAAGATTCAACTCCAGTTATAGCTAATGTAGTATCATTAGCCAGTGCTCCTGCTGCTCAGCCCACAGTGAATTCTAACAGTGTCTTACAAGGTATGACTTGATTTGAAAGCATTTATCTAGCCTTTTTGAGGTTGAATATAAGGCTTCTCTACTCTTTTTTGTCAGTGTTCATTTTCATGTGTTTGTCACATTCATATTAGGAATGGTGGCTCACTATGTGCTGCTATGGCATTAAACAGTGTTTTTGTAGTTTCCAGATCTCTTTTTCTCATATTAGGCTTTAGGTGTTACTCTTCCCCTGAATTAAAGTAAGATAATACATGTTTTTATTATGAAACTTTGTGTGTTTTTTCCAAATATCAGCTTTTAATACTAATGTTTAAATAATAAGATCCTACATTATATGTTTTTATTTATATCAGGTGCAGTTCCAACAGTAACAGCAAAAATCATTGGGGATGTAAGTTTTATTATTTTTATTGGTATTGCCACTGTCTTTTCCCTTTTTATGCAGTATGAATATGTCTAAGCTGATTTGCCCTCCTTTATTTTTTGTTTGTTATATAAAACAAATTGCATGAGTTCAGGAACAGGATTTTCTGGTTATTTAGTTAGGTCTTTTATGTACTTTAATTTCTTTGAATGCTTGGTATCTATATAATAGTAACTATATAATAGTTACTGAAGGTTTTTGTTATTTTTTAATTGTACAGAATTAAAGTAAATTGTACAGAATTCAGGCATAAAAGGTTTGGGGGGCATTTTGTAACATAGACTGTAAATAAAGTACTTATAAAATATAGTTTATTTCCCACTCAGTGTAGATTATGCTGTAAATAAGCATTCTTTTTTTAAAAAAAAAAACAATATTTTTGTGCTTTGTCTCTTAAAAAAAATAATAAATAATGAGAAAAACTTATGACTAGAACAGTGGCATTTTTAAAGCGTTTCCTGGTCTCTGGGATAATTTTCATGTCATCTTTTTTCAGGTAACTTAAATGATCATAAGTGATCCTATTCTAGTTAATTTTTTTTTTGTTGTTTTTTGCGGTACGCGGGCCTCTCACTGTTGTGGCCTCGCCCGTTGTGGAGCACAGGCTCCGGATGCGCAGGCTCAGCGGCCATGGCGCACGGGCCCAGCCGCTCCGGGGCATGTGGGATTTTCCCGGATTGGGGCACGAACCCGTGTCCCCTGCATCGGCAGGCGGACTCCCAACCACTGCGCCACCAGGGAAGCCTGAAACTAATTCTTTTAAGACTTAACTCAGTCAAGAAACAACAGTTCTCATTTTAAGCTCAACCACCATTGTTATTTATTTATTTGTTTTTTTTGCGGTTCGCGGGCCTCCCACTGCCGCGGCCCCTCCCGCTGCAGAGCACAGGCTCCGGACGCGCAGGCTCAGCGGCCATGGCGCACGGGCCCAGCCACTCCGCGCCACGCGGGATCCCCCCGGACCGGGGCACGAACCCGTGTCCCCTGCATCGGCAGGCGGACCCCCAACCACTGTGCCACCAGGGAAGCCCCACCATTGTTATTGATCAACAGTATGTCACAATACAAACAGCATTTTTCTTGGTAAACAGAACTGGTAATTAGATACATTCAGGGTCAATATATAGTTATCAAAATATTCCTTTATTGATATTTCAGGAATATTATATTCCTTACATATTTAGTTGAATATTTATATTCTGTGTCTTCCAAGTAATTCCAATATAGTATTTCTTTTGAAATTATATTTTGAAATATAATATTTATAATGTTTCTTGTAATTAATGATAAGCTTTTGGTTTCTGACTTATTTTTTTTTACTAGGCAAGTACACAAACAGATGCCCTCAAACTGCCACCTTCCCAGCCTCCAAGACTTTTGAAGAATAAAGCTTTATTGTGCAAACCCATCACACAGACCAAGGCCACTTCTTGCAAACCACATACCCAAAACAAAGAATGCCAGACAGGTGTGTTCCTTGTGCTTTCTTCATTTAATTTTTCCTAGGGGAAAGTAATGTGGGATCTGGTTACATTAATTAAGTGCCTTCTATTTTATAGGTGTTGTGTTTGGTTGCTTATATTCGCTGCCCAATTGAGTTCTCACGATATCCCTGTGGGTTAGGTATTTTCATCAACTTAACAAGTTATGGCAAAGAGAAGGTAGTTGATAATACCATACTCTGAATGCTTCATTTAATTTCCTTATTCATGATAGTGTAGTATTATGGGTAAGCATAGACTTTGGAATTACATAAACAGGGTCTTAGTTAAGAGGAACTGTTGTTTTCCAGAGCACCCTTAGGTTTGAACTTTTCCACACTCTATTTCAAATAATGTCAGTTCCTTTGGGGAGAGCTTTAGGGCTTTCTTTTCTTATGAACTGCCTCTACCCTCTTTGAGTTACTACTTTTCTGAATGATGGGCATGGTGTGAGCTTCTGATCTCCTCAACTTGCCTTTCCTAGCATGGAATCTCTGCCCTACAAGTGATCTGGGGTGAAGGTAGTTCGTACCCTAGTTTTCTTGGCCTGCTATTCCTATAGTAGGTTTTCTCTTTGTGGGTGGTAGCTGTACTCACTAGGAAATTAACCTCTTTAACCTGGACTTTGAGGGGATAAGAAATGATGGTGGCCTGTCCCTCCTGGCGAGATACAGTAACCCTTGATGGGAGCTGAAGGAAGAGGAGCCCATTCTTTCTGGTCCCACCCATTCCAGAGTGGAGTTTCTATCATATTTAGCTGGCTGAGGCAGGGGTGTGGAGCAGGTAGTAGATCAAAAGTCACAGATGCCTACTGTTCTTACTGTATTTAGTAGATTTTCTTGAATAAATATTTCTCCATTTGCTGTATGCCTTTGGGACAATTTCCAAAGAATTTATTAAGTGGTTATTTTTTAGGTTTTCACCAACTTTGCTTGTTTCCCTAGAGAATTGGGTCTCTGGCATGCTGCCATCTGAAAATCCCAGAATTTTTAAAGTGGAAAGGAATCCTAGATTCTTAGATCTGGAAGGTTATCCTCTAGGCCAGTACTTCTCAAACATTAATATGCATATGAATTATTTGGGAATGTTACTAAGTGGATTCTCATTTAGTGGTGCCGAGGTTTTGCATCTTTTAAGTTCCTGGGTAATGTCAGTGCTGCTGATCCACGGGTCATGTTGAACAGCAGGGCTATAGATGACTTAGTCCTGTATTTTTATTGTACCAATAGTGACTTCATAAAAAAGTCATTTTTTAAAATATTTTTTTTATTTATCATTTTTTTACAGTAGGTCCTCGTTATCTGTTTTAAATATAGCAATGTGTACATGTCAATCCCAAAATAGTGACAGTTTAGCATTATGTAGCTTGGTTATCAGACATCTCTAATCAGATAACTTTTTTTTTATGTCCACTGCACCATGGTAAAATTGATCCCATATTATTTCCCACTTCTAACCCTAGTCAAATTGTCAGCTTTTCACTTCTTTTTACTAGCATTACCTTTCTCTTACATTAATGATTTTACAGTTATCTAACATATTTTTCTGGCCTACAGAAAAGACTCTGTAGATAGTTGTTAATGATTTCTACCTCCATCCTTCCCATTTTTTCCCTACTCATGTTTAAGTTAGTTCCCAAAGTTCTGTTTCCTTTTTTTAAAAAATATCTTAGAACCTCTGCTCTGTATACTTATTTTTTTTTCCTGCAGGTATCATAACCACCCTAGTTCAGGCCCTCATCTTCTTAGCTCTATATATTGTAGTTGCCTCCCACATTGTATACTTTCTATTCCATGTGAAGATGGCAGCCAAATTAATCTTTTTAAAGCCATTTTCCTCACATTACTTTGTGCTAACCAATCTGTAGTAGTTCCCCACTGTCTAATGATTTTAAATGTGTATTATAGCCTCACAAAAATGGCCCTTCTACCTATTCAGTCTCCTCTTTAACATACACTACTTATTCATGTTAAGTCTTCTATACCTTTCTTCTAAGATAACTATTCCATTTATCCATCCAAGTTATATCCTTCATTCATCTTATCCTTGTATCACTGATAATTATTGTGTTGCCCACTTTTTTTAGTGCTGTTATACTCAAGCCTTGCTATTTCTCCTTTCTGTGAATTCCTAGTATCATAGATACTTCTTTTTTTTAAATTTAATTTTATTTATTTGGTTGCATCAGGTCTTAGTTGCAGCATGCTTGTGGGATCTAGTTTCCTGACCAGGGATTGAACCTGGGCCCCCTGCATTGGGAGCACAGAGTCTTATCCACTGTGCCACCAGGGAAGTCCCTCATAGATACTTCTTTTGAACTGTAAATGTCCACATGCTTTAAAAATTTTTTTTAAATTAAAATTACACTTCTTTTGAATTATAAGTCTTCATATACCTAAAAAATTTTTTTAAATTAAAATGTCGTTTCTAACCCTCTTTGTTTTTTTGTGGGGTTTTTTTTTTTTCTTCCATTAGAAGACACTCCAACTCAGCCCCAAGTTATTGTGGTGCCAGTTCCAGTACCAGTGTTCGTACCTATACCTCTTCATCTTTATACTCAGTATGCCCCAGTCCCATTTGGAATTCCAGTTCCAGTGAGTAATCATTTAGAGATTAAGCCTAATTTAGTATGCATTTTTCTCAATTAAGATTTGACAGCTCCATAAAAATACTTTTTACTTGTTGGTAAAATATACCTGACTCTGGTTGGCTATTAATCATACTGTTATATTACTTAAATATGGAATATATAAAGGACTGCTTCTATTTGTACCCTGCCTTGTCAGAGGAGGTTATGATTTAGCTTTTTAAAAACATTTTAAACACAAAAGACCACTAACATAGAAAAAGATCAGAAACAGTGTGTGAATGCTAGAATCCTAGATTGTAGCAAGAATGAAAAGAGGAATACTGTGATTTACAGGATTCTGACTTTTCGTTAAAGAAAAATGTATTCATTTTTTATTGGAAATATATATTTTCTCGGTATTGAATTCTTAAGAGAAACACTTGTGTGAAAATATTAAGCAAGAAATATAGTCAAAAACAAAACAAAAATTCATTACTTAATTATTCTTTTAGATGAATCAGAGACACGTTAAGTATCCAGAAAAGCACTTACTGAATTTCTATTTAAATGGCTGCAGTCTTATAAAAACAAACTAGCAAGACTGTCTTAACCATTAGCAATAGAAATAGCTTGAATTTGTTTATTAATAATTTTTATATTTAAATGATCTCACAAATAATAGTTTTGATGGTCGACCAAGAAACTCTTCAGTCTATCCTTGGTCTTTCAGATGCCTGTCCCTATGCTTATTCCATCCTCAATGGATAATGAAGATAAAGTCACTGAGAGTATTGAAGACATTAAGGAAAAACTTCCCTCACATCCTTTTGAAGCTGATCTCCTTGAGATGGCAGAAATGATTGCAGAAGATGAAGAGAAGGAAAAGACTCTATCTCAGGGAGGTCGGTATAATTTTAAAGTAAAAAAAGAAAAACACACCTATAAATTTTTAGGTAGCTCATGTAATTTTAAGTATTAGGCAGTCAAGGAGTTTCTAAAAGCTTTATTTGTTTTTAAATATGAAGTCTATGGGCTTGTTAAACTTGTTGATAACTCTGGAGCTCTATCCTGTTTATGAAAGAAATCGATACGGTTTCTAGTTCTTAGTGATTCCAGAAAAATAACTTATAAATCCATGTTTCATGGTCATGTTCTAGTTTTATCCCCTGCAGTCAAAGCCATGGTCTCCAGATAAAAATTACTGTTGTAAAATAATCAGCATGTTGGTAGAAGGTAAAAAGAATTTTAGGGTGGAAAACCATTTGGTTCAAAATAACCTATAGATAAATACCATTTTATGAGTGTAGAATAATGTACAGTAATTAACATTTATGTGCTTGCCGTACTCTAGGCATTGTCCTAAATGCACTGTGTGCGTCACCTCATTTAATTTTCACAACAACCCTATGAGTGAGGTACTGTTTACTTTAGATTCCTCTTTTGGAAAATAGGCTTGCCATGGTTATGAAATCAGGAAATAATGGAATCAGAAGTTGAATCCAGGTTTGTCTGACTCCAAAGAAAGGATTTTAACCAGAACTCAGTAGTATAAATTCCAGAAAGGTTTCCAGCCTTATTTAGCACTGCCTTGATTTTTGGATATAAGAAGAGATAAAGGAAATGGTGTTAAAGGGAGTTGAAATGTATAGGTGAATTTTTGCAATGGCGTATTTTTTTTATTTATTTAATTTATTTTATTTTTGGCTGCATTGGGTCTTCATTGCTGCACCGTGGGCTTTCTCTAGTTGCGGTGAGCAAGAGCTACTCTTCACTGTGGTGTGCGGGCTTCTCACTGCAGTGGCTTCTCTTGTTGCAGAGCACAGGCTCTAGGTGCACAGGCTTCAGTAGTTGTGGCTCGCGGGTTATAGAGCACAGGCTCAGTAGTTGTGGTGCATAGGTTAGTTGCTTTGCAGCATGTGCGATCTTCCCAGACCAGGGCTCGAACTCGTGTCCCCTCCATTGGCAGGCGGATTCTTAACCACTGTGCCACCAGGGAAGCCCACAGTGGCCTTTTCATATATCATTGATGAACCAAGAAATTACTCTTTCCTGACAATTTTTTTTTTCTGTGATGGTTTTTATAAAGCTAGCCACTGGGTTCTGATTTTGCGTAATACATTCTAGCTGGTTTTCTGAACACCACAGCATTTGAAAAAACTACTGTCAACTTTTCTGTTGTGTTGCCAGTACGTTTTTAAATCAGATATACTCTGAGAGATGGGTACAAAGCTTTTTGTTATTATCCCAAAGTTTCTGGTCTCATTTTGCTCTTTAGTGTATAATATCAATTCTGACCCATTTATATGTGGATTTTAAAGTCTTGGAATATTGCCCTTGGGCTTCCCTGGTGGCACAGCGGTTAAGAATCCGCCTGCCAATGCAGGGGACACGGGTTCGAGCCCTGGTCCATGAAAATCCCACATGCCGCAGAGCAACTAAACCCATGCACCACAACTACTGAGTCTGCGCTCTAGAACCTGCAAGCTACAACTACTGAAGCCTGCGCTCTGCAACAAGAGAAGCCACTGCAACAAGAATCCTGTGCACTGCAACAAAGAGTAGCTCCTGCTGGCCGCAACTAGAGAAAGCCCACGCACAGCAACGAAGACCCAACGCAGCCAAAAATAAATAAATAAATAAGTAAGTAAAGTAAGTAAGTAAGTAAATAAATAAATAAATAAATAAAAAGAGTACTGCACCTATGCTTGATCTTCTAATTTCTGATACTTATTTTGCAAGTTCCAGCAATTCCTGATGAGAAACCTCATTCTAAGTTGGCTTCTCCATTCATGTTAATAGTCAGCATTTATCAAATGTTTCCTCTATACAAATATTGTGACTTTGCCTTTGCCTACAATTCAGTCAAACAGAAAAACTTTAGACTGAGCTTCAAGACAGATAGTTTTAATCATCATAGTGTAATTAAAATCAAATGGTTTAGAAATATAAAGGGGGGAGAAATTAATTCCAACTGAAAGGATCTGGCTCATTTATCTTTGATTTCAGGGAAAAGAGACAATTTTCCTTGGTTTTTTAAAAAATCTTTTTTTTAATACTTTAAATCTTTAAACACTTTACTTTTTTTCTTCTTCCTTTTTTTTTTTTTTCTTTTGTTTTTTCTTGGCCACATTGTGCAGCTTGTGGGATCTTAGTTCCCTGACCAAGTATTGAACCTGGACCCCAGCAGTGAAAGCTCCGGGTCCTAACCACTGGACAGCCAGAGAATTCCCTAAACTCTTTACTTTTAAAGTAGTTTATAGGGACTTCCCTGGCGGTCCAGTGGTTAAGACTCTGCGCTTCCACTGCAGAAGGCACTTGTTCGATTCCTGGTCGGGGAACCGAGATCCCACATGCTGCATGGTGTGGCCCAAAAACAAACAAAAAAAAATTACAGTAGTTTATAATTGATAGAACTTTGTTCTGTTTAGTTCCATGTGCTGATTGCTCATGTATTTATATTCTAAGTTTGTCAGCTTTCCACTGCATGGTAAAGCATATTTTATTTAGGGAAGGAAAAAGGAATTTAAAACAGATTTGTCAACCTGTGAGTAAATCAATATTGTGTGTGTGTGTGTGTTGTGGTTAAAAAAAAAAAAAAAAGAATTTCAGATAGCACAGAATCCAAAATAAAGGTCTCTCTTGCCATGACTTCTTTCATACCGCTTGCTATCTAGAAGTGTAACCACTGTTATCAATTGTAATTTAACTGTATTTATCACTAATGCCTGACTTCTATTAATGAACCATTCTTTTCTGCATGTAAAGACTATTTACGTAGAACCTCCGTAGTGCAGTCATTTCATTTGAGATGCGGTTTGTTTTTTGTATACATATAAATTGACTTATTATGTGCTTTTCTTTTTCTTTAGGATCCCAAACTTCTGAACAGGAGCTCTTTCTAGACACCAAGATATTTGAAAAAGGTTTGTAATTGTAAATGTATTTTGAATCTTAGAAATATTATCCTCTGTTAGTGACACAAATCCGTAAAGTATTAGCATCCTTGGATTTAATATTTGCAATTTTAGCTGTTTGTAGGGGGCATCAGACATCTATGATTTTGTGCTAATTTGTAGAGACTAATAAAAGCTACCTCAGATATTGGTTTTAAGGATTAATTGAAATAATGCTCTGAAGTGTGTACCAAGAATATAAATCTAGTTCTGTGATATTGGTGAACAAGTTACTTCATTCTTGAGTGTACCTATGGAATTGTCCAGCAACCATACCTGACTTTTTGGTATTTAGGGTTTCAGAGAGGTTTCTGAGTATGTCAAGTATATTATCTCATTTTGAGGGCTTGTTTGTTTTTCTGTATATTTCAGACCAAGGAAGTACTTACAGTGGTGATCTTGAATCAGAGGCAGTATCTACTCCACATAGCTGGGAGGAAGAATTAAATCATTATGCCTTAAAGTCAAATACTGTGCAAGAGGCTGATTTAGAAGTGAAGCAGTTCTCAAAAGGGGAAACTGAACAGGATCTGGAAGCAGATTTTCCATCAGGTTTGTGCAGTGTAACCTGTCTGTTCAAAGTCCTTTATTAGAATATTCGTACAACTCTGAATTGGCATAATGAAGCAGTTATAATGTATGATAACTATCTAGGGCACAAATGGTCCCTGCCTTTGAAGGTATTAATTCATACCATATTGTTCTTTATAAGGGGTTAATTTGTTTTTGTTGTTGTTGTTTTTAAGTTTCCCACAGTAATCATATAGGGATTTTTCTTGATTGTTAATAAAGTTTGGGGTTTTTTTTTGCGGTACACGGGCCTCTCACTGTTGTGGCCTCTCCTGTTGCAGAGCACAGGCTCTGGACGCGCAGGCTCAGCGGCCACGGCTCACGGGCCCAGCCGCTCCGTGGCATGTGGGATCTTCCCGGCCCGGGGCACGAACCCGTGTCCCCTGCATTGGCAGGCGGACTCTCAACCACTGCGCCAACAGGGAAGCCCCCCCCCCTTTTTTTTTTTTTCGAGATAATAAAGTTTTTATACATGCTGTATCTCCTTGTTTTCTTATGTATATAAGTAAAGTCCATATTTTATCATAAACAAAGTAATGAATATAGTGATGATTACCTGATATTTCCTCCTTCACCCTAAGTGTTTATTTAAGTCTGTGAGTGATTTATCTCACATTATGCTTTCTCTTGGATATCATAGAATCCTTTGACCCACTGAATAAAGGACAGGGAATCCAGGCACGTTCCCGAACAAGAAGACGACACAGAGATGGCTTCCCCCAGCCCAGACGAAGAGTAAGCAGTAACTTAATTTTTCTAGCATTTTCTTTTCTTTGTTGTTTTCCAACCTTGTATTTTTGTCCTTTTGTTTTTGTTTTTTTGAAGTCAAAAACCATATCTCTTATTTTATATTTCCTCAGGAGGGACTTTTTATTTTGTTTCTATAATCAAAGTTTTTTATAATCGTTAGTTTTTTATAATCTGTTAGTTTTTTATAATCGTTGTTACACAC